AGGGCAGTATCACTGGCCCTCATATGTGGGATCCGAACCGGGGCCCTCTGGCATCCCAAGCGAGTTCTTAACCATCGCGCCACTCAGCCGGCCCTTATTTATTCTTTTAACATGCCTCTTTAAACCAAAAACTACAATAGAAATTTTATGTTGGACTTATTTAGAAAAAAGCTCGGAGGTCTTTAGGCCAACTAAGAATCTTTGAATGCATATTTTCAACAAGCTTAAGTAGGGCCCTACGTAATTATAGAAAAGTTGATCCCAATTCCAGTTTTAAAAGATTCCTTAAATAGGAAACAAAGAAACAAAAGTATTTTTGTTTTTGTTTGGGGTATTTTGGGATAAGTGGCTCTTTAAAATGTTTTGGTAATGGCCACAAATCATATTAACTTCCTGTTTGGACAACACTAACCTGAAAAGAATATAGTCTGTTTCCCCACCCTACTTAACTCTAGTCTATACTTTCTGAAGGGGCAGAGCTGATTGTTCCTTTTTGATCTATAATGACATGTTTTCCAGGAAGACATTATTAAGTGATTTGGGCTAGAAAACATGTTTAAAGTAAAAAGTCATGGTCCTTTTACAAAGAACGTCATTATTTCAGATTTTTTTTTTTTTTAACATTCTTCTGGAAAGACCTAGTTTTTAGTGTTCTTTGAAGTAATGGGTGAATTAATTACTCTCATGGGCCTATTGTTAAAATTGTAGTTGGAGCACATTAACAGATATATAATGTTAATATATGTCAATTTTAAATAAGACATGTTTCCACATGAAAACTATCACTATCAATTAGTGATCTTTTTTAACTACATTAACTTCAGTGACATTAACTTCTTAAAAATTAAAAATAGAGAAAAGTTATCTTGAAAGAAGTTATTACTGGGGGCTGGCCGAGTGGCGTGTTGGTTAGGAGTTGGCTTGGGACCCCAGCTCTGAGCAGCAGGGCCCCGGTTCGGATCCCACATGAGGGCCGGTGACGCTGCGCCCTCTACAGCTAAGATGGTGAACAACAGCTCGACCTGGAGCTGGGCTGCCATGAGTCACCGGTGATGGTGTAGGCTGCAGTGGGGCTGGCCAGCAGCTGGCATGTGCTTTCGTGAGCTGCCCTGAGCCGCCATGAGTGGCCGTCCAATGGCGGGCGAGCGACTGTCTCACCCGGGAAGAGCACAATGATAATACCAACGTGGGCCAGTGAAGCTACAGCCTTCACAATTAGACTGAAGAACAAAAAGGACAGCAACTTGTCTGTTCCCCTCCCCCAATTCCCCAATAAAATCTTTGTAAAAAAAAAACCAAAACTTATTACTGGAAAACACTAGCAATCTGTTGAACTAAAAAAAAAAGGTACCATTATTAGTATTTTAAATGCAGGTTTTCTCTTACATTCTTCATGTTTAGACCTACATCTATTATTGCGTATAATAGATACTAACTGTGAGATTAAGGAATGGAAGGTGAATGGGAGGGGTAAAGGGTGAAGGCTATTCAAACCTGTTGTGGCACTGTTCCCTTCTGTATGTCCTCCCCGCCTTTTTAAAATTAGAAACAAGCAACAAAAAACAGTGCTAACTGGCTAAAAAAGGGTGAACTAATAGAAGGCCAGGAATGCTCATATTCATTTATAGTTACGAGTTATAATCAGGCTTAAAACAAATGACTAAACAAAATAAAATGCTGATAACTTGTATAAAGAAATGCATATTATGATTACAGTTATTTTATAACTTTTTGTGTTATTTAGTCCATCTGTATAGAGGAGATTTGTATGTCTTCTGATCCAGATAGAAATAACAGGAATGAATCTTGCAGATTTTAAAACTGCTCATTACACGTATACATTGTTTCGTGAGATGTTTTTCTGCAAAATGAGTCAAATGAACTAAATAGTATTTTATCTGGAGCTTACAAATGTGAAAAAACTAATTCCTTTAGCAAAAAAAAAGATTATTTTTTAATGAAATTAATCCTCTTTTTTTTTTCCCCTCATATTTGAGTATTTTTTAAAGTGGTATCATAACTGAAAGTGACTACCTTAACTAGGTAATTTTGTTTATTTTAAAATAAAAACAGTTTTAAAGGACACTGTACAATATAAAATGTTATTTCAGGCATGTTAACTACCTTTTTCATTTTTTGTGTGTGTGCCTACTCTGACTTTGAAAATTGACATGTTACAGTGACATTTCATATCATATTTTAAGATCAACTGATCTTTCAATCATATTAAATAATATGCTTACCTAAAGAAGGAGCCAGCCAATATACTATAAAAAATTGAAGGAATTCTTCATCAAAACACTTGAAATGTAGTGAAAGTGCCAAAGCTGGGTTAAATACAGCTCCTGTTTGACTTCCCCCTGTAATACATTTTAAGCAGAGTGATACCAAACCATATATCTTACATTTTCTTATAACTGAAAATAAAGGGGTTACTAAATGTGACTTGTTGTAGGTATTGAGGTACAGTCGTCCCTCAGTATCCGTGGGGGATTGGTATCCTGCAGGTACCAAACTCCACAGATGCCCAAGTCTCCCCTATATAAAATGGCGTAGTTTTTGCATATAACCTACATACGTCTTTCTGTATACTTACAATCATCTCTAGATTACTTACAATACCTAATACAATGTAAATGATATGTAAATAGTTATATTGTTTAGGGAATAATGACAACAATAAAAATGTCTGTACGTGTTCAGTATAGACAACCATCGTACTCCTAACTACACAGTACATGTTAGCAATGTAATATTTCTTTTATATATTTTTGATCTGTGGTTATTTAAATCCATGTGTTTGGAACCCATGGATACAGAGAGCCAACTGTGTTGTTATTCTGTGATCTTTGCAGAATCACCTGGCATATCATAAGAGTATGAAAATAGATTATAGATTAAAATATACCAGGTGCAAAAAAAAAAAAAAGAGACATTAAGGGAGTTAATCCAATGCTTTTCCTGTATATTATTATAAAATGCACATTGAAAGCGAATTGCTCTATTATTGTTCCTGTGGTTTTATAAAACAGGAGATTTGGCTGCCCTTAATATTGATCAATTCAAATGAATGAATAATAAAAGTAAAATGAAAGTACACTGAAAATGGATATAGTACCCCAGGTTCTTCTTGGGCATAGCATACCTTTGTGTTAAAAACAAGAAGTAAAAGGAACCAAAGCATCACTATTGACTCCATTTTTACTTGTCAAGGGAGCCCTGAAGAAGTAACTGAATGGTATGTAAATTATACCTCAATAAGTCGTTACTTAAAAAGTTTTTTTTTTTTTTTTTTTTTTTTTNTGTCCAAAAGCTATCATTTCCCAAGTTACTTTATACCTGCTTTTCTTGGCTGCCATAAGCGCTCACTGCCAGTTTTCTCTCCTCGACTTTCTTTTTTTTTTTTTTTTTTTTTGTTTCTTTGTTTTTAGCTGAGCCATCCTGCTACCTGTTGGCAGCTCAGTGGCTGTTCAGCTCGGGCCGGGACTTGAACCGCTGTTGCTCAGAGCTCAAACTCTTGAGCAAGCTCTTAACCAACTGAGCCACTCGGCCGACTCTCCTCGACTTTCTTGTGAGCTTTGCCTGTAGTTTGTCCCTGACTATTTGCTACATCTTACTCTAAGAAATAAATTGCCCTTTGCCAGCTTGAGTATCTCAACTGTAATATTAGATAATAACTAAAGGTCATGTAACTAGGTCATAGCATACAGAGCTAAGACTCGTAATGCTAGCAGTCGTTCTTTATAGGCTGTAAGATTTTCACACTGTTAAGTTGCTATCCTCCTTTCTCCTCTGTGATGTCCTGCTACCTCTGACCTTATAGCAGTTTTGTGAATACTAGCTGTCCTCCAGTATTTGAGATGCTGCTGCTTATATCCAGGTCCCTTGTTTTATTGAAGCAGATAGTAATAGCGTGGCAAGAGTTATATATTTTGCCTGATCCTTCTACCATTGTCAGATATCCAGTTAGGTTGTGAGAGCTCTTGCTATTCTAAGTTCCATTCACCTTTCAAATTATTGCCATTATGAATATAATGTTGCTTCTTATACTAACCATGAATTGTGATAATGGGTCTCTGCTTTTGCCTCAGGTGCCGCCTGTGGAACTATCAAAAAATAATCTTTAGAGTTCTGTGATTTATAGCTTTCTTTAAATATATAGTTTTAATTTCCATGGCATTTACTTCTGTCATTGGTAGTCATACAGTCTAAAATAATGTCTCCTCTGCAGTCAGCTAAAAAATTATTTGTTCATATCACTGGAGCTCTGTTAACTTTTAACAGTTCCAGATGCTAATACTTCACTATTCTACATCATGGGAAATCTTTTGGTACAAACTTAAGTTGTCTTCCCTTATTTCTCACATTTTATTTATCATGTTCTTTATAGCATGTTGGTTTTTATCAGTTCATTAATACTCATTTAGTGTCTTTTATTGAAACTGGGAAACAGATTTTTTTTTTATCTTCTGGCTTTCACATATTTCTTCTTGAAAAATAGACTATTCAGAGAACGCTAACCACTCTATTAATAAGGATTATGAGAAACTCATTTGGTCTGTTACTAATGATTACACAAATGGGATATTACTGAAGTTCCCTGGAGAGAATTCCTAGGATTCTTTGTAATTTAATTTTCTGGTGAAATGACCATAAGATAACCACAAACTTTCTAATGAGCTGATGATTTGTTTTCTGTTCATTTTATGCTACAGCTGGAACAGACAGATACTTTATTCATAAAGTTTATGCAAGTTCTTCATTTGGATAATTGACCTGAATTCCAAACAATGTCTGTAATGTCTGTAAATTTTTAATCATTTAACATTGTGTTTGCCTTTAACCCTCCGTTAGGCGCAACTGATCTCACAGATTCATTGCACACAAATTTTCAAATATCTAACAGTTAAGTATCGTGACTCATCACTTCTGTATCTTCCTCCTCTATCGCCAGTCATGTTTGTGACTTTGTACAGTAAAGACGTATTTCATAGTGGCATCTTTGTGTGTAATGAATCTGTGAGATCATTTGCACCCAACAGAGGGTGAACAAGGAATAATTAGAGTATTTATGTAACAATTACAAATTTCAAGGTAACAGAATTAGCACTTAGTGCATGAGGGGGGCTGAAGGGAAAGGCATATGAATGGTGGAATCACAGCTCTGCCATGTCCTGGCTCTGTGTCTTGGACAAGGCATATAACTTCTCTAACCCTTAGTTTCCTCATCTGAAAAATGGGATGATGACTGCCGGGCAGGATATTTGCAAAGACTGATATATAATATACCTTAGTCCCCTGGTACTCTTGACGAGGCATTAAATAAATACTAGATATTATAAACACTGTAAACCTTTTGTTTTTCAGATTCTGCTCATAACTGTAGGAGAGAACTTGGTGCCTTTTCCTCTGTGGAGTGGGTGTTGATGAAAGTATTTTTTCTTCTCCAAAACTTACCCGAGCCAGTTCTTTCTTGAAACAGACTATACGGAGACAACACGTTGTCACCAGCAGAAGAAACTCTGACCTTTTTTAACAAAGGTGAATTACCGTAACCAAGAGGGTATTTGTAGTGTATCATTTACTCCCAAACTTCCTGTGTCTAGGTACCCTCTGAGTAGGCCTGTACTTCCTGCCTTCAGTGTATGCATCTCCCGTAACCCAGCAGGGCCCTATGGTGAAAATGCACAGGACTTGAAGGTCTAGGTAGACTGGATGGGACAGAGGCTGAATCTAAGATATACCCCCCTTAGGGCCTAAGGATACTCTTACCCCTTAAAGAGAGAAACAGAGATCTCAGAGAAATCTTGGCCTCTGTTCATTCTCCACAGGGGTAAGGATCTTTTTACTAATTTGGGACCCAGATTCATTCATTCAGGCATCTCTAGGGAGCCCCTTTGGAAACATCCCAGCCATGCCACTAACACAAGTGCTTCTGCCTAGCTTTTGCTCCTTTCACCATGTTCCACCAGTTCTGTTATAACCTCTTAGGTTATATCCTTTCATTTCCAGCCTCTTAGGTCAGTTTCTGTAATAGAACAAGTGAAACTGGGATGAAGTCCTCAAAGTACTTCAGATGATAATTGTTTTGTCTTCATAATAGCTTAACAAATAAATCTAGGTTTTCTATATTATTGTACTCTCATTCTTGACTAAAACCATTAATGAGAAATGTTTTTTTAAAAAATTAATGCTGGCCAAAAAAGAGAATCTTGTTGGTCTTATTTTTGTTTGACTTCTGTTGATAACATGAACATTAAATGAATAAGAAAATGTATAGTTAGAGCTCTAACTGGCAAATACTTAGTAGGACAAAGATTTACTATATTTCAAGGGATTTCTGCTTCTTTCACTTGGATCAGGAGTAATTTCTTATAACAACTTACCAACTCTCAATTTTCAGTTTTTATTTACAGATTTATTCTTGAACTTTCAATACCATTACGTGACCTTAAAAATAAGATTAGAAAAGCTACTCAGAATCACTTGGCTAATTAACTCTAGTTTGTCACCACTAAACTTAGTGTTCTTTTTAGCACTTTCACTTGGTTTCCCTCATCCTGCATGGTAGACCAAAAAAACGAATTTAATTTTTCTTTTTCTGACCGGACTCTCAGAAATACTGAATTTGTTATACTAGGCAAGTAAAAGGGCCACTTGGAATGGTAACTGAAATTGACTGAGACCTTCTCTGTACCAGGCATTGTCCTGGGTTCTTTACAGACATTATGCACATAATATTCTTATCTACACATGAGGTATAGGTGCTTTTATTATCCCACTTTAGAGATGAGGAAACTGAGTTACAGAGAGAGGTAAAGTAATGCTTTTCATGGAGATAGTGAGCTGTGATTTTTAAGTCTATGCTCCAAAACACCATATAGCTATACCATCTACCAGCTCAACTGCTGAAAGGAAGCAAATTCTCTTTTTATTACAGGGTTTGCGATATTAAAATTTCAATGAGACAGCACAGGAAGTTCCCAAATTTCTCTGCTACCAGTCTCAACAGCACTGATTCTGTCCTAGACATTCATCCATTCCAGTAAGCTGTCAGGGTATTCTCATGGGCTGATCTTAGAAATTCTATTTGAGTTCCTCTTTAAAGCCATGCTTACAGACTTGTAATCATGACACAGTGAAGCCTAAAGTGCTCTGGCAACGTATCGACACATTGTGGAGGAGATTCTGTGCACTGTGTTTCCTGTAGCACTGCTGTGGTCAGCCTGGTATTGGAGCTGATGTACTCAGCTAAGGTACGGGAGACCAGGCATCTACTGCTGGCTTGGCAGACAAGGTATTTAACCTCTTTTGGCCTATTTCCTCTTCTGTGAAACAGTGCGACTGGACTAAATAAATGGCTTTCAAAGATTCAGCTAACGTTCTATAATACTAGTCAGTTGCACCCAGAGCTTTGAGAAAATAGGAGAAGGTGGGGAAAAAAGATTAGGTCAGACATTTAAAAAATGAAATTCATAATGATCAAGGTTATTGTTACCTTCAATCAATTTATTGTTACAAGGTAAAAGGCAACATTTATTGATTCTATTTGAGCTTAATTTTAGGGTTCCTAGAATTGTTTTGCTTCTTATTTCTTAATGTAGAGAAAATTTAAAGAGAAGGCGTAGACATGTCCCACCCATAGTATGAGCCATCTAAAAATACCCCTAAAGGCTAGGGTAGAGTTAGGTGGTCATCTGTACTAGATTCTATTGTTTTAAAAATGTATTCATTAAAGATATGATCCCAGTGGGTTTCCTCTTCCCTCAGATCAGTTTGTCCAATATTCATGCTTTTCAAATAAGCTTCTTTAAATCTTTGTAGATTATGTATTTGAAATCTTGTTAGGATCATTTCCAGTATTGCTGTGTTTCCCCGAAAATAAGACTGGGTCTTATATTAATTTTTGCTCTAAAAGATGCATTTTATTCATTTATTCATGTATAAAAATCTACATTTATTCAAATACAGTCATGTCTGGCTGACGATCTTAACTGGGGCTTATTTTGGGGTAGGGCTTATATTGGTTTGTCGGAAAAGTCATGACATATTTTTTTCTGTTTTTTGTTGCAAAAATGCGTCATGACTTTTCCAACAGCCCAATATTACAAGCACCCTGAAAATCATGCTAGGGCTTATTTTCCAATTAGGTCTTATTTCCGCGGAAACATGGTAGTAAAGAGAAATTATGCACAGATGATCATAACACATAGTCCTTTACTTTTAGAAAAAGACAAGTGCAGTTACTCAATGTTCGGAGCGATAGATACTTAGATAGAAATTGCTTTATCTGCATAATTTCAGGTGGTAACACGATATAGCTAATTCTCATGCAAATCCCATTTTAAAAGTATTTCTAGATTGGGTGAATTTACATATGGTACCCGTCTTTTGTGGCTAATATATAGTAATTGAATTCTAAGCAGATCCCTTATGAGGATTCTAATAGAATTTTTGCCATCCCTGAACAGAGAAGCTGAAACAAACATTTTTGCTAGCATCTC